ACTATTAGCTATTTTTTCCGATATGGGGCCTAAGTAGGTCAAACTACCCACATACCGCCGGACACTTTGAGATCGAACCGCGTACAAAGAATTGCGAACAACATGCTTTTGTTTCTTTTTAATAAGATTATCAACGAGACTTTTTGAAAAACCGTTAGAGACCGCAATTTGATAAATTATATTAAGTTCTTTTAAATAATTTTCTTTATTTAATGGAACAGTGGACAGACGGTTAATGTAACAATAAAAAAGCGGCATCCAAGGTGACGACTTTCAGCTGTTAGAGTCTGATCCAACCAAAAAGTTTACTTCGGATATTAAAGTGTGTATACAAAAGTCGTCATATGTTTTTCCCGATCACAACTTGTCTCGGAGCAATCTTGTTAATTTTGGAGTAACAGTAGCCAGTATTGGCTTCTTTATGTTTGTGTTACAAAACGCAAAACGAAGTTATCTTGGTGTAAGACCAAAGAGTAAAATTATTAAATAAATATATAATATAAAAATAAAATACACGATTAAATAACCATGTAATAATATTATGGTATTCCTTAATATAATGTTGTCCCGTCACAGTTCTTGGACAATGTCATCCGAAGAGCTCGAGCGAATAAATGTTTCCTCAGTTTAAGATCTTTGTAGAATATTTAGAGACGATACCAGGAGATCCGACGGTATGAGTTTGGTTTCTTGAGAGAGAGTGAGAGAGGGATAAAGCTTTAGTGTGGGATACTACTTGCGAACACTTTGACAGCATCCCATCTCAGGGGTACCTCGTCTAAAGCAGGGGTGGCATTAGAGGCAACTGAACTAAATAAATAGCCCAGAGTATCTAGAAGATGAGTACATATTTGTGCAATTTACTGTAGAGACTATCGGTCCGTAGGGTGCACGTGCGGTGTAGTTCTTAAGAGCCTATACTACCTCAGCTCAAATTCTAATTTCGCCCCCACTTCCCCGCGCCATTCGTTCGCACACTGCTCGCGGTCACGCGGGAACACGAGGTCAAAGCGATTTTGTTAGAGGAAAATAAACTATAATCGGACGCGTAGTAAGTAATAAAATTATCAATCATAATTTACTATTAACTTGTCATTATATGAACATAAAATTATATATCGCAAATTTAATTTCATTGTACATACTAAGGGCTACTCAAACTAATATTCTAGTATAAGCTGACTCTTCATTGTACTGAAAGCCTATACAATGCAAGATCAGCTTATACTGGAAATTCCAAATACTGGAAGGATACGCCCATTGGTTTAGCAGGTAGTAAGTTTGCGTTTTGTAGTTTTCGCCGTGTATGTATGTAATGTGACAGCCGTTGGGTATGTAGTTATGTAGGTAGTAGGTCTATGCAAGTACCTACGTTTCCGAATGCATGATTGTAAGAATTCATGATATCTGTGAATAGGCTATTTATTTCGTGTCGAAGTTTGCGTCTTTAGAAATGTGTTCAGATAAGCACTTTACTGATCTAGTGCGTGAGTCGAGTTCGACTTTGAACGGCGCCGATCCCGGCCGCCCAGCTGATGAACAGCGATCTGTGCCGGAGACGGACCGTAAACATACCGTTTAGCTTTGAATAATAACACCCCGTTTCGTGAATTTGAACTTGATTCGTGTGGCAATAAAAATGTATAAGTAAAAATATGTTATTCAAATAAATTTCAAATTCACGGAAGTATTTCTACGGTACGACGGATCGATGTGTAAAGAGTAACATTTAGAAGCTTCTTTCATAGGCCTACAAGCTGACATACCACCAATATAGTACGTAAATAGGTACTAGGGTCCATTCCGAGACTCGAGTTTCAAAATTTAGAGGCTCGTGTTTTTTTTCGTGGACTCGAGACTATCTAGACTGATCCATCATTCAGTCCTCGCGTAGATACCTACTCAATTTATAAACCTAAAAGATTAGCATGAAATAAAATGTTATATGTAAATATGCATTTATTAAACAGTTTAATATGTACTTATATTCAGAATATACAATACAATTACAATAATAAAAAAAAAATCCGTAAAAAAAAAAGACAAAAAAGAGGCTTCAACAAATTACGCGACACGCAATATTCATACGTAAGTACCCACTACAAATATCATATTACCGTTATAACAAAAAGTAATGCTTCCTAAACAAAAATAAACTCTCATCATAAATAACTAGGTAGATATGTAAAACACTACACGAGAGCGCGTCATTACTATGGTAATAATAAGAGATTTTTTTTTATTACAATATTTTAAAAGCACAGAATAAATAATAGTAGTACAGACTAAAAGTAAGTAGTATCAATATTTTTTGTCATGGGTGACATTTTCATGGTTTTCGAGGGTGTTGAAGCCGATAGTGCTGTCGAAATTTAAATCCAAGACGGCGGCTGCAATGGGTATTGATTTGTTCATCATGGGTGTCATTTTCATGGTTTTCGAGGGTGCTGAAGCCGATAGTGCTGTCGAAATGTAAATCCAAGGTGGCGGCTGCAATAGGTATAAATTTTTTCATCATGGGTGTCATTTTCATGGGTTTCGAGGGTGTTGAAGCCGATAGTGCTGTCGAAATGTAAATCCAAGATGGCGGCTGAATTAGGTATAAATTTTTTCATCATGGGTGTCATTTTCATTGGTTTTCGAGGGTGTTGAAGCCGATAGTGCTGTCGAAATGTATTTAAACTACTTTAAAAAATTCCGTATAATCATATATATGTTAATCATATATAATCATGTTATACGTAAATTTTTTAATGCGCTTCAGGCATGCCCAACTGGATTTACCAATTTATTTTACATATTATTGAAATGTACAATGGATTGCTTACATTGTTGTATATCTGTCATGTCGTAATTGTCGGTTCTGTCCTGCGTTTTTGGGACCTGGGCAAAATGAGAATTTATTGAATTATGTTTTCTTTTCTTGGGTTTTTCTTTGATTGTGGTCGGAGGACTTATTTTTCTCAAGGGCATATTACGTGTTTTTCGCGGATCCAACAATTCCGGCAGTAAAGATTCCAAGTAAAATGTTTTTAGTTTGGGAACCATATGATCATTCCACAGTCTTTGGTCGCATTGTATTATTTCTGTTTTTATCTGTTGATTTGAACTAACCCACACGGCAAAAAGACACTCTCTCCTTCCTGTAATATTTAACTGTCCTAGCACTTGGAAATACCAGTGATGTTTCTTATTGATCAATATTTGGCCATTATCATACTTCCAGAAAGTAATTTTCCTGTTTTTCACAGCATCTTCCAAGCTAGTTCTGTAGCCTGATATTGGACATTTTATTTCTACAATCCTATTGTCATCTATCACACCGTCAGGAGTTGCTCCTAAAAATGGATGGTTTTTATCGATGAATAGCCCACAGGGCATAATTTTAATGTTTTCTTGCTGCTCTAGTTGATTCAAAGCAATTTTTTCATTAATTTTACCATGTTTGATGGAGGTAACACCAGAGAGATCTTTTTGATACAGTAAACTTTTAACTATACTACCTGGCGTCGTGCTCCTCTTGTTTATAATTTTGCCGAAATTGGAAGCCGTTAACAAATTCCTTCGTATTTCCATCCATTTACTACAATCACTCTGGAGGACTGTTTCCCTTTCAATATTAATTCTTTCTTCGTCAGATTTCTCCAAATTTGTTAAAAATGTTTTTTTCATTCTTTCTAAATCTTCTGTATGCAAATCAGGCTTCATACAATTTTGACCGTAATTTTCATCTTCAGCCCTTTTCTCTTTCTGTTGATAAACAAGCTTTCTGGGTTGCATTTTAGGCTTGGAACCGTTTCTTTTTAGTTTTCGCAATTCCAGGTATTTTGATTTTGACATTGGGCTCACACCAAGAATAGATCTTTGGAGCTTATACAAAGGTCTTTTTGTATTAAATGATACGACTGCCGTAGCGCATCTGGTCTGATATGAACGCCGAAGACAAAAGTTTATGCGTTTACCACCGATACACTTTGCAATTATGGCGTTAAACTGTTCACAACGATTGCTGTCCACGTCTTCAATAAGACTTCGTGCATTAGCTGCAATAGAGCAGACTATAAACTTTATTTGATTTTCTAACGCCGTATCTTTCAGTTTGACAGTGACATCTTCACTTGTTTTTTTGCTTTCGCAATAAAAATTCTGACAATTGGTATGACAACCGAAAGCATGATTATATGAATTGGAAATTGCTACATAAAGATCGTTTATTTGTTTTGAGCGGGTATCACTTGTTTTCTTCAGGTGTTTTATTGAAGAACAAATAACTTTTCTGATAGCCAGGATTCTTTGTGTATTCAGATACCTTCTATGCTGCAGTTTATATTTGGTATCTTTGGTAAGCGCTTGTAATTTATTACACAGGTTTCGTAATAAATGGTTTCTACACTCTATCTTTTCAACAGTGTAGTTAGGATATGGCCGGGCTGCTAAAATTTTAGAATAAGTGGAAGCGTCTCCATCAGCAACCATTTTGCCGTATATAAGACCATACATGTGCAAAGATTGTTTGAATCCTTCCACTAATATTTCCGATTCCATGTTTGTAGATGAACCAGTGTAATTTTTAAAACACATGTGCTCTGATGGTGTAGTTTGTTTATTCTTGGCGCGTACACATATGCAACAATATTTATTTTTTACGGCGAGATATAGCACTTCCCCAAACTTTTTACCTATGATTGCAGCAGCGCCTGATAACGAGGAATAGTTTTTCTTGTAGGTCCTCTTAGCCCAGCAACCATCAATGATCACGTCTATGACGGGGATTCCATCTGAATTGACTCTGCCTTGCTAACTTTTCCCATTCTTCACTAACTCGATTATCAATTTTCTTATAAAAAACTTCTGTCATAAACGGAACATTTATTGATGTAAATATTTCTTGCAATTGTGTATATCCTACACCTGTAATAGCAGCACTCGTTACTACGGCAGTATTTACATTCAAATTGTCGCTTGGACTAGGTTTGGACGTATGTGTAGTAAATTCAACATTACACATATTGCATTTGAATTTTAATTTTGAAATCAAACCTAACCTTTTCTCCCCCTATCAACTCCAAATTATTTATACCGCAACCGAAGGCTGTTGAGTGGTTCGAAATTGTTTTTAATTCTTTTAGAAAATATTTAAGGTCTATGATTCTTCTTTCGTCTGATTCTTCATTGATTTCTGCATGATTTCTATCTGACGTGTGCTCTTCGTCTGGAAACCTACAACAGTAATACATATTATTACATAAACTATAAAGCAGACAATAATAATAATGCATGAATGTTTTGAAACAATAGTATATCTTTGAATAGCTCCGATACGTTCCCATGTCCAAATACCTTTCATATAATATGTCACTTTACCTACATTGCTAGCGCTGTAGCATGGTGCGGGGACAGATGTCAGATTATAGTATCAGGACAGACTAGGACAGAGACATTACACAATTAAATTTACATCATCTATACAAATACAAATCCACATCAAAAATCTTGTTTTCTTTATTATAATTTAAAATATATGTGTGATATTATTATCATAATATTATTAAATTTATTTTAAAATATGTATTTCATATAAAACATTTAAAAAAACATATTCAAAGCACAACCGATATTTATGGATATATTAGTAAAAAGGTACAGTTCGTCTAATGTCACTCACACTACACATATATACGCTTTATACTATACCTAGTAACTTTTTAAAATTCCAAACCCCCTCTTCGGTGCCTTTTGCAGTGAAAATAAAAATATTTTTGAACTTTTCTCATTAGCAATAACAGTAGCGAAGCATTTTTTATATAACTGCTCCAAATTTCAAGTCGATAACATTAGTAGTTTCTGAAATATACGGCTGTGACAGACAGACAAAGTCACACCATAGGGGTTTCTTTTTTACCATTTTGGTACAGAACCCTAAAAACGTCGGATCGAGAATATCCTACTCATTTTTGAAGTCAGTAAAAATACGAGTACAATATTATCGATGCATTCATTTGTATTAGGTCTACCTTTGATTCTCATAAACCAAGTCTTCGCATTTAGGTAGGATACGAGTACTTATAGCATTGTAAAATTTTCATTCCAATAATGAAACATGGTTGAAAAGATTGAACCATGTTTCATTAAAATTTACATACATATATACATACATAGCATTACGCCATTATTCTCCGAAAGGGTGGGTAGAGGTGCATAGTGCACCCACATTTCGCCATTTATGTTATAAGTCTCATGTAATAAAGTGCGAGCCTATTGCCACTAATCGAGCACAAATCCAGACTCCGGACTGGTACTGAGAAATTACTAATGGAAAAACCCAATACCATTTTGCCCGACCCAGGACTTCTCGCTCAGCAGTAGCGTTTGCGACCGCTAGACCAACGAGGCAGTTAGAGAAAGAAATACTAACAGGGATTCAAAATTTACTTACTTATTTATTTTATATGTATTTATTTATGTAAATACTTACTTGTCCGTACTGTCAATAGATAGCGACGAGTCCCCTTTTCCCTGTTCCAAATGGCCAGCCGCCGCCGCCGACAACGACGTGCGCACCGCCGGCGCGCCGCTCGAGTCGCTCGCGCCGCGTGCCGATCCGTCTTCGTGCAGTCCATTCTCTAATACCGTGGGCGCCGTTTTATTCGTCACATTCTCAAGCTCAATGAATGAAATGTTTGGTTTTCTGCAAATGTATAGTCATAATAAAATAAAGTAACATACTATTCTCCAGACCAAATTTCGGTCACGGCGGCCTGCCTCAACGGAGACTAGCCATCGACGCAGGATAGCATTATAGTGCGCAAATGTATGCGCAAGCATAGGTGCACTCTCTATTCCCTCACCCTCATAATCCGATGAGACGGTAAACCGACACAACCGGAGAGAGATCAGGTGCAGGACCAACGGCTTTACGTGCATTCCGAGACAAGGAGGTGGGCCACCGCCAACTTCCTGACTCCGGGCAGCTACTGAAAATTTCTTGACGGTATCAGAAACTACGGGTAGTACCTCTCATAATACACCGGTTGATCTTTTATAAATTTCAACTTATTTACAAAAAAAAATTTTGGCCCGACCCGGGATTCGAACCCAGGACCTCATGATCAGCAGTCGCACTACTACAACCACTAGACCAATGAGGCAGTCAAAGTAACATAACATAACCCACAACATTCAAAACCTATCCCTAACCCCACAGTGATACCTATTCCCTGTATCGTGAGTATCAGAAACTACGAGTGGTACCTATCATAACACCCCGATTGATCTTATATAAACATAAACAAACTTATGTAACAATAAAATTACAAAACGTTTTTGCAACACATCAAACGAATTTAAACTTTATCAACAGCCAGCAGCAACGTGACGTGACACTAGACATGAGCTTTATCTCGTTGCAATAAAGTTGAAACTCGAAAAATGATTCGCAAACCGATCCTTCGTGTTCGGCTCTATACATATTCGAAATACCTAAGAAGCTACGTAAACAAAAGAATAATTTGACGGCCTCCGTAGCGCAGTGGCTCAGCAATGAGTTGTTGCGCTGGGGGCCGCGGGTTCGAATCCCGCAGGGAACAAGTATTTGTATGGCCTACAAATAATTGTTCCGGGTCAGAGTGCTTGTCCTCGTGCAATTTATGTTTGTAAACTGCCTCCACGATACAGGAGAAAATCCTAGAGTGGGGGTAACGTTTTTATAAGAAAAAAAAATTAAAAATGAAAATTAAATTGATGCCGTTATTTATATCGGTAGTTAGATAGGTACTTACTTTTTTTTCCTTCGTTCAAAATACGGAGTTGTTCTCTTAGACGTTTTAATTGTTTTCTTTTTCCGAGAGTTTTCTTTTTGCCCATCTTTATTTACACTTTAAATATAGGTAATATATTTACACAAAACGTTTTAAATTCCTTTTTACAGTAACACCTACCACAATACAAAATAAAAATGTCGGAAATAAATAGTCGTCTCTCCGTAATGTCGCCAAACATAGGTTCGTCCCGTAATAGATGCCGCAGCAGAATGATTGAACAAATTGAAAAGGATAGCGCTATTGCTACCACGTACAAAACAAGAGACAGAAAGAGAGTGTGCTCGTTTAGAATTAAATAACGCAAGCGCCAAATCACATAATTGCTAATTACGAGAAGACCACGTAGAAAAATAAAAAAATAAATCGTCACGATTTGAGATAACATTATTATCTATCTATTAGCTAAAAATCATCATTCAATTCCATAAGGTTTCAGAGATCTAACTAAAAATAAGTGCAAAACGAGGGTTTTTCATATTTTTTTTTATCGAGAATTTTTTATCGAATCGTGTTTTTGCTTCAACAGATTTGAAGATTATAAGTCCAGGTTTAATGTGTCCAAATAGCAAACTGTTAGGTCTTACAGATACCGAGATCCAGATTGATCAATATCACCAAAACAGCATTATGCGGCCTCTTAAACAATAAAATTCAATAGGGTTGTCGAGTTCCAACAACAAACAAAGTCGCCAACAACAGATGATTATCAAATGTTTATTAATTAACAGGTTTCGAACTGAACCTAGACTAAAATTATGGCTTAAAAGCATAAATATTGTGAATTGGTCCGAAACAAAATGATCATATTTGTTCCAAACATTTCACAGACGACTGTTTTATTAGACATGAGAACTGCACCACTTTGAAAAAGTGCAGTATACCGACAATATTATCTGGTAGTACCAGTACGAGTATTTATTTATTTATTTATTTCGAAAACCAACAGCGTATACAGAAAATATCAACAAATCATAAGCAATTTAGTGTAACGAGGGTGGTCACAAGCTTACAAATAAGTTGAGTTCTTTGGAGGGTCTGGTAGATTGATATTATATATTACATAAATGCGTATACATACACACATACGCATATACAAACATACACATATATACACATTTATATATACATATATATACACATATACATATATATATATATATATATATATATATATATATATATATATATATGTATATATATATATAATACGAACATAAATAGTACAAATATATAAACATAAAAAAGTAATTAAGTATAAATAAAATAACTTATTTTGATTAATCATACTGACAGAAAAAAACATGTCGATACTAATGTAATTTTAAATTGGGAAGGAACTGAGTCTTGTTGATACCACCATTTTTCTTGGAATCACACTGGACGCAAAGCTTCAATGGCTCCCCCATATATCAAAACTAGCTAGCAGACTTAGTTCTGCAGCATATGCTGTAAAAAAAGATTAGAACTCTTACCAGTGTTGAAACAGCTAGAATAGTTTACTTCAGTTATTTCCATAGCATTATGTCGTATGGTATTTTGCTATGGGGACACGCGACTGACACTGAAATTATATTTATTTTACAGAAGAGGGCCATTAGAGCAATATATAATTTAAAACCAAAAGAGTCACTGGACAAAAATTTAAGGAAATTAATATATTAACTCTGGCCTCTCAATACATTTATGAAAATGTAATGTACGTACACAAAAATAAAAGTAGTTTTGCGAAAATAAGTGATATTCATTCTGTAAATACTAGGAGCAGACACAAGCTGGTAGTACCATTTACTCGACTCCACCGAGTCAGTAATTCATTCTTGGGGCGATGTATACGCTTTTACAACAAAATCCCAGAAAATATACAAAATTTGTCATACACAAAGTTCAAAAATGTTATTAAACTAAGTTTGTATAAAAACGGTTATTATAATATTAAGGAATTTATAGATGATAATAACCCCTGGGATGGGTGATCGCTACCAAGCTATTTCTAATTTGTCTTGTGTTGTTGATTGTAAACATGATTGTAAGCTATTATTAAAAAAAATAGTCCCGCTGGGTTTCTTGCTGGTTCTTCCCAGGACAGAGGTTTTTTTTGCGAACCAGTGGTAAATTAAAAAAGTGACTTTCAATAAGTATTTTTATAATCTACATTGAATACAAAAGTTTCTATTTCTATTTCTATTTCTATGAGACAACTGGACGAATAGGAACATGTTCTTTATGTATTTTAGGTAGCCCATATAAAGTGGGTGCTTGTGGATTCATTGGAACAAGATTGCTCCAAAACAAGTTGTGATCGAGAAAAACATATGACGACTTTTGTATACATACTTTAATATCTGAACTAAACTTTTTGATTGGATCAGATTCCAACAGCTCAAAGTCGTCACCTTGGATAACATCGTTAACCTTCTGGCTGTACCCGCTACTCTCCATAATGACAACAGTATTTCCCTTGTCTGCTTTAGTAACAATAAGGTTATTGTCTTTTATTCTCTGCTTTAGTGACATAAAAATGGGGAATTCAGGATTGCAATGGGAAGATGCGGGTACATCCTGATTTTCTTTAGCTAACAAACTTTTAACGATGTTATCTTTCCTCCCGATCACAACAGCCACCTCCGCGGCGACGGCCACAGTCTCTAACGATCTTTGGGAGACCGAAGGTGTTAAATTATACTTTAGGCCTTTGTGTAAAAGGGACAACTCATCCGTTGGAAACTGGATATCGGAAATATTTTTTTAACACGGGGATAAAATTGGTGATATTCAGTATGTATGTCGTTATTACGTCACGGACGTCAGGGATGTCAGGGGGGCGCAAGAAAAACACACTACTGTATACTTCATTACAAATTCAAAATTTAATCGTGTCACTACCCACGCACACTACAGCATTTATGTTTGTGTTTACGCATCCCGTGTAGTGGCGGTTAAAAATATCCACTACCCCATATCTTCCCGGGGGTGTCGTAAAAGGCGACAGAGGGAAACAGGCAGGAGATGGGCAGCAGCATCTTCCTGATAACAGCAACTGTACATCAAAAAAAAAACTGCGGTTGCCAACCCGCTCGCCAAGCGTGGTAACTATGGCAATATACACCCCCCCCCCCCACGAAGAATTACACAAATAGACGGCCCCGAGTCCCCGGCGGCCCCGCTATTCCTGGCTACGGTGGCGATCATGGTAACGGCGGGGCAGGGGGTGCTAAGAATCTCCGGTGGAGGTTCGGTTGCCACCTACGACGACTCGACCTGGCAACATTTAACGCACGCACCCTGAGGACTGACGAGAAGATCCTGGAGCTGGAAGAAGAGATAGACTAGTTGCGCTGGAATATTAAAGGATTATCCGAGGTCCGAAGAGAGGGGGGAGGACACGGTGATTCTCGAATCCGGCAACTTGTTCTAACTCCGGGAGGGTGACCACCTGTCCCAAGGAGGTGTTGTATTTATCGTCCATAAGTCTCTCGTTAACAACGTTTTAAAGATTGGGAGTGTATCGACGAGGGTTGCGTACCTTATACTCAGAATCACCAAACGGTATTCGCTGAAGGTCATACAGGTTTACGCGCCAACGTCGGAACATCCCAATGAGGAGGTGGAGGAAATGTATGAGGACATTTCTAAAGCCATGCATTCCTCCAAAACTCACTATACGGTGTTAATGGGAGACTTCAACGCAAAACTGGGCACAAGAAAGAACGGTGAGCTGAAGGTAGGGAAATTTGGGATAGGGCAACGGAACCCAAGGGGCCAGTAGCTGGCCGACTTCATGGAGAAAGAGGGACTTTTTATGATGAACTCTTTCTTCCAGAAGCGGCCCCACAGAAAGTGGACCTGGTCGAGCCCCGACGGTTCGACAAAAAACGAGATTGACTTCATTATGACGACCAGACGACTCAGACCAACTGTTCAGTGATGTCTCAGTGATCGCAAGGGTGAAAACTGGCAGCGATCACTGAATGGTTAGAGGCACACTGAATCTAAACGTTAAGTTAGAGAGGTCTCATCTAATGAAGTCAACGCTCCGTCCCCCCTCGTGCTCTAGTCCAGAATCCCGAAACCTTTCAGCTCGAGTAACGTAAGCGCTTTCAGTGCCTAGAAGATTGCAATGCAGTGGACGATATGAATGACAAGCTCGTGGAAACTGTCCATGTAGTTGGAGCTAAGTTCTGCAAGACCCACCGCAGAAGAACACAAAAGCTCTCCGATCACACTCTTAATCTCATGGCTGTTAGACGGGAGATGAGGCTGCAATCGTCAACAGATTTGACAGCATACAGGCAACTGAACAGACAGATCTCCAAATGCATGCGGCGAGACTTACGCAACTTTAATACGGCTCGTATTAAAGAAGCGATCGAGCTGAACCAGGGCTCCAAAGTCTTTGCCAGAGATCTGTCTGCCAGAAAGAGCCAACTGTCAAAAAAGACTGAGTGTGGCAGCATCGTTTCCGGGACACCAGAGATTTTGAGTGAGATTGAGAGGTTCTATGGGCAGCTGTACACATCATCGTTGGAGCCACACGCAAGTGTGAGTAACGATCCAAGAGCAAGCCTTATCCGACACTATGTCGATGATATCCCGGACGTCAGTCTGAGCGAGATTAGAATGGCTCTCCAGCACCTTGAAAACGGCAGGGCCCCAGGCGAAGATGGAATTACAGCAGAGCTCCTGAAAGTGGGTGGAACACTGGTACTTGAAGTCCTTCAGAAGCTCTTCAATTCCGTCCTCCATGGTGGCACTACTCCGGAGGCGTGGAGCAGAAGTCCGGTGGTCTTGTTCCATAAGAAAGGCAACAATGCTCTCTTGAAGAACTACAGACCGATTTCCCTTCTGAGCCGCGTCTACGTGCTGTTTTCGAGAGTCATTACGAATCGTCTCGATGACTTCCAGCATCCGGAACAAGCCGGTTTCCGAAAAGGCTTCAGTAGCATAGACCACATACATACCCTGCGGCAGATTATACAGAAGACCGAAGAGTACAATCTGCCACTTTGTCTGGCGTATGTGGACTATGAGAAAGCCTTTGATTCCGTCGAAATTTGGGCGATGCTACAGTCCCTTCAGCGGTGCCAAGTTGACTGTCGGTATATCAAAGTGCTGAAGTGTTTGTACAGTAGAACTACGATGGCTATCCGAGTACAGAACCGGAGTTCGAAACCTATCTAACTGCAGAGAGGTGTACGACAGGGTGACGTTATATCCCCGAAACTCTTCACCGCTGCATTGGAAAACGTTTTCAAGCTACTGGACTGGAAAGGATAGGGTAATACCCTACATCAATGGCGAGTACATCACTCACCTTCAATTTGCCGACAATAAAGTCCTTATGGCAGAATCGCTGGAGGACCTAAGCACTATGCTCAACCACCTCAGTTAGTTGGTGTCTCCCAACGGATAGGTCTTAAAATGAACGTGGACAAAACAAAGATCATGTTTAATGTCTATGTCACACTTATGCCGGTAGTTGTTGGGAGCACTATGCTCGAAGTTGTTGACGAGTACGTTTACCTGGGACAAATATTCCGACTAGGTAAGTCCAACTTCGACCGAGAGGTTAATCGACGGATTCAACTTGGCTGGGCAGCGTGCGGGAAATTACGACACATCTTCTCGT